ATTTGAGTACTGAATGAAAGACTATGTGCAATCGTCGTTTAAATTAGATGATTAGTGGTGTTGAAGTTGGTGGTTTGAACAAATGAAATGAATTCAGCAACCTCTTAGCTCCTACCTCAAGCAGCAATCATAGTAATGATGATACTCATCTTAAGGATTTTTTGATCGGTTCTGAAACTGGCATACCGCTCGAGGATAGGGAGCGATGGTTATGTTTAGAGGATGTTGATTTTTCATTTAACGAATTGCACGATATCGATGAATCTGTGGTAATGTATTATTCTGTTTTTGATGGCTTTTCTGATGTTCTTGTTTTTACTTCCATAAGAGAATGTTCCTGCAAAGTTATCGCAACTGATGTTGCATCGAAATTTCAGAAACTATTAGAACCAATTGTGAAGATGGATTTATCACACAATCGTTTGGCTGATATTGGCCATCATCTACAGCAACTTTATTCGCTCTATGAGCTTAATCTATCGCATAATGGGATCGAAGATGTCGACGATTGGCACACAAAACTTGGCAACGTGAAACGATTGAATCTGTCTGGTAACAGCATTCGATCACTGAAAGGTGCTTCGTTGTTCACATCTTTTATTTTGACAGTTTTATTCACCACACGATAGCGGTGAATAAAAAAATGCCGTATGTCTGAGTGTATTAACGATGGAGTTCCTCTGAATCGATTCATTAGATATCTACCTGTATGCATGCTCACCTGAATTGTGTGGATGACCGATCGTGAGTATCCTATGTTTGCAAAGAGTCAACGACTAGAGCTCAGCGCTTAGTCCTAGGCGTAATGTATACATATTTTCTGATTTGATCACTTTCTCGTTCAGAAGATATTGATTAAAAGTTACAAGGTGTAGAAATTAGTTGAATAAGTTAGTTATGAATGTTCACATGGAGGAAGGGTAGTTCATTGATTCAACTGAGTTGATTTCAGGTCTTTCCAAACTATACTCACTGGAGTATCTCGATTTGACCGCAAATGCAATCGCCACACCGGAAGATGTCACGCCAATTGGAAATTTACCTTGTTTAGAGCATATCATTCTTCGCTCTAATCCTGTTCGTCAAGCAGTCGAATACAGGACAAAAATTTTGGAGTCGTTCGGCGAGAGGGCTTCCGAGGTTGTTAATTTTTACAATCATCGACGTTGTTGTTGTTTCTTCCTCGATTCACCGAATTTCTTTACGATTGCTTATGTTCTCATGTAGAAAACTTCTATCCTAATTTAATATTCTTTATATCTTTCCATCAGTTCCATTTCTTTCCTATTGAACTTTCATGTACGGTTTCTCTTGTTTTCGTTGATTTGACATTACGATTCGACGATTTATACTGATTGAATACTGAACTATTTACAGATTCGAT